AACAACATTTGGCTGAAGGTTGTTTTATGCATAGGTTTTCACTACAAAATTCCAGAGACTCTATAGCTGTGGTGAGAAATAACATGAAAATCATGGATACTTTAATTTTCATCATAGTAGCCGTAAGAAATAGTGTGCTTAATCAAACCTTGAATCTCTTTGATGAAGGCTTACCTCTCAGGTTTGGCACAGTGTTTGTAACTTATAGCCTGTTTTATTGTTGATCTAATTCTCAGTGTAGAGCTCAGGTTTCCTGCCCAGCTGACCGTAAAATTCACTGCACAGTTTTTTCGTCTCATCTGGACGTTCCTGTACACTGCTTTAAGAAGGGTGTTTTCAATTCAAGCATAACAAAGGGTCTCAACAAAGCAAAGGGATATTTTTTCAACTCAACGCCCCAAATGCTTTACAGTTTCTGTAATGTGACCTGTAGGAGTCTTTCCAGTTTCACGCAAGAAACTGCGTGTTCTAGTTCGAACCTCTCAAAAACACTTAATCTTGGAAGGTAACCATGTGAAAAGTTCATCGTTTCCATATTCCCTTCCACAGCTTAGTTATTGTTCCTGTGACTTTTCATGTGTCTTAATTGAGATCATTACCTACCACATAGGCTCAACCCGTCAAAATAATCTACGCTTACGGAACAACCGATGACATCAAATACCATGGAGCCCGCAGGGGCACCAAAGAAGTAAATCTGCTCAACTACATGCCAAGATACACCCAACCCAACAGCAAATACATCAGTGCCAAAGTGGACAATGTAAGAATGTCTGTACACATTTGGGACAGTGACTGTCGATAAATAGGGTTGATACATGACAAAGAAAAAATGATGTGCTCATTATGACGTCTATCATTGACAGGTCACTCTCCCTGCTTATGATACTTACTATCACTGCAAGATTATGAAGTTTCCTGAAATGAAAACGAAACATCACATTTATCAGGTAATAATCTAAAGTAGTAATCTTTATGTAATCTGTATCTTTAAAACACATTCAACCTTCTTTATAGAAGCATTGAGTCTGTGATGTGATGGTACATATCAAAATCAGGTGCACCATGAATTTATCAGTTCGTTTTCCCCTAAGATTGAGCCAGAGATTGACCACTTGGATGTCGTTCATCATATGGTGCTGTATCGCTGCCCGGCCTTCATAACAGAACCTTCTGAGAAGCCGTGCTACACAGACGCCATGGGGAAAGCCTGCTTTGCAGTAATGGCCTCATGGGGAGTTGGAGGAGGGGTGAGGGCAAATCAAGTTTTCCATGTTCTAGTTTTTTTGTTTTGTTTTTCTTTTAATTTTCCTTTTGTCTGTCTTTGGTGAATATCCACATAAGCATGTGCGTGTGAAGTGTAAAGGGACAGCCCCCCTTCCACGATAAAGTACTCCACTATTTAGCACAGTTTCAAAGTTTATCTCTGAAATCTCTCCGAGGTATATGACCTTCCTGAAAATGCTGGTATTCCCATCGGAGGAGTGCACAGTGATACGTTCTATAGGCTGGAGATCCATTACAACAACCCTCAAAAGAAAAGAGGTATTATCCCTTATGACTACGTTATGGTATTTTTTGTTTTGTCACTTTTTTTCACTCACATCTTGTTTTTATGTTTGTCTTTCCCATGATTTGTAGACATTACAGACAGCTCAGGACTAAGACTTTACTACACAGACAAACTCCGGCAGCATGATGCGGGCATTTTAACCACAGGTGTGCTGCCAATGGCTGGAATGAAGTACAATATCCCTCCAAAAGCTGCTCAGTTTCACACCTACAGCATTTGTAATACCTCCCACTTTGAGCAGGTAGGCAGCTCAGCAAAACTGATTTGAAATGACAGACGTGTGTGTGCACATAGTCCAGCTACGTCAATACAAGTTTGACATTTCAACCCACAGCTTATGAACCCTGTGCCGGACATTCAAGTGTATGCTGTGCTCTTGCACACTCACTTGGCTGGAAGGAAAGTACGGGTTGGCCACTTCAGGTAAGAATAACAGAAGGGCTTGTTTTCCATCAGCTGCCCACTGGATTGCAGTACAGACATAACATGTTTTATTGCTATTTTTATATCTCCCATTGCTGATTTCTGTAGAAATGGAAAGCAGATAGACTTCTTGGGTGTGGATGAAAACTACAACTTTGATATTCAACAAATTGTGAATTTAGGGGGCATCAAGACAATAAAAAAGGTGAAAAAAAAGGATTTTAAGTTTTAGGAGATAACTGTTGTGATGGTCTTTCACAATGCTTTGCCTCGCTTTGCTTTCACTGCAGGGTGATGAGATCTCAGTGGAGTGCACTTACAGTACCACAGATCGCTCTGAAGCCACTAAGGTGGGTGCGCACTGCTGTTAGATCAAAACATGTTGAAAGAAATCTGATTTTTTTTCATGTACCAAATGAGCAGTACAACAGTTTATGTATTGATACATGGGGCAGTTATATTATATGTAACATTAAACAATATAACCATATCCAGGACAATGTGTTGAGAAAAATCTGTTTTGATGATCAATTTGAAGACATAAAGAGAAATATTGCAATTATTTTATATATTAAATAGCTTCCATGGTAATGACTTCCCCCCTTTCAGATGGGTTTAGGCACCACTGATGAGATGTGCTTGGCCTTCCTGTTCTACTACCCTGCCATCAGCATCAGCTCCTGCATTAGCCATCCTTCTACAAATCTTTTAGTGAACACAAGTGGCCAGTAAGACTCAATGTGTCCTTTATAAACAAACTTACCACGTGTAGTACAGGTCTTTATCTATTTTTCGATCAAGACACATCTTGCTGTGCTCTTTTTCTTATTTCTTCTGTGATCATTTACTGCAGAGTATCAGTGGAAACTGCAGGAAATAAGTATGAGACCACGTTGAAGACTCTGCAGCAAACTGAGGTTATCTCTGATGACAAAGTAAGAGGCAGTCTAATTTGTTTTATGTCCAATTATTAAAACCTTCAATTGAAAATTCCAGAATTGTGCTATGTTTTATTCAGTCTCCGGTGGTGTCCGACAATTGAGCTTAATCTATTTTTTTTCTTTAATTGCTTTTTTTCCTTTAATTTTTTTACATAGCCATTGCAATAGTTTTTCTATTACACATTTGTCCATATTGTAGACAAATGTATGCCCCTTATTCAGTATGGACAGATTTTCACATTTCTTGTTCCTTTGTTTATTCATCACCCACATTAGTCTGAAACGCCTAAGTTGAGGTCACAGCTAACAAAGCAATCTGTCAATTTTGTTTTCTCCAGCGTCTCAGACACTCCTGACACATTTCTCACATTTGACCATCTTTTCTTTTCACAGAATAATGTTAAAGTTTACAGAAACTCTTTCATCCGGGACATGATGAAGACACCCACAGTTGATTGTCGAATGCAAAATGCAGCATGCAGTATCAGTAATTCCTGGAGGATGAGCACAGGAGGAATCGTACTTTTGCTGCTCTGGATTGCCACAGAGTAACATGGTTCTACGTTCAAAAGATACAGTGTCTACAGTAATAGCAATAAAGTCAGATCTTCCCTCAATCAATCCGAATGAAACTAAGTATTTTGGAAAAAGCTGTAAGTAAAAAAAAAGGGTTTTCTTGATTCTAAATTGTGGGCATTTCATTTTCTTGTTTTTAATTTCCTCAATTAGACAAAACATCCATTTTTGTCTTGTAACTGTATCTTTTGTCTTTTTCCAATACTTTGTTACATGCTGTACTTGGAAAACCTATTCTATGTAAAACAAACATCATATAATTGCATTAAAAAAACACATGGCACTACCACACTTTTCCCACTGTTTCTGTATGTTTATTCTATCTATTCTATTCACTGCAGATGTAAATGTTAGCTGGTATAGACGTTATGAAATAATCCATTATTCCTTACTTAGTAAAAGAAAAAGATATTCCTGATTCTAACTGCGACAGTAAAGTAGTTTTCTATCGCAGTTCTACGGTCTTTCCTCCAGATGGCGCTCCAACTCAGCCAGCTCAACTTGTCACAGACTGCAATCAGAGAATGAATGTGCATAGCTAGCTAGCTGATAGCTTCGGCAATGTTGTCACTATCAGAATGATATCACAGCGGGACCGAGGAGAACTCGCCAGGTTTTACACTGTGACGGATCCGAAAAAGCACCAGAAAGGCTACACTGTATATAAAGTCACCGCAAGAGTAAGTAAATAGAGACTATATGCTCTGACAGTTAAGCTAATGCTAGCTGTTTTTAATTGAGCTAGCATGAGCTGATATAGCTGAGCTACTGTACTGAATATGCAGAGTATTAAACCGCTAAATAATGGGCTGACAGTAGTAGCACCTTAAATACACGAATAGTGTAAATGGGGAATATTCACACGTTGTTGTGTTTTAAAGGACTGGGTTGTATGTTTGTCTTTTGTGTGTGTTTTAGCTGCTTATCATAACCAGCATTATTAAGCAGATTGTTGGGCAGTATGCTAATGTCATGCTACAAGGCAAAAAAACAAAAACAAACACTGGGTCATATAAGCATGGGAAACTTGGGGAACCTCAACCTATCATTAATAATCTATTCTCATCTAAATGTTTTGGGATCGTTAGCCAATCAGCCCTCAAGGCTTGAACTATTGACTCCCAAACCCACCTGACAAGAAGTGAAACACCTGGGGTCCACATGATAAAGCAGACTTCACGTCCATAGGGTTTGTTTTGATTGTCATGTAAAAAAATGTGTTTTTGTCAACGTCTTTTTTTGTTGTTTCCTTTCTTTTTGCAATGGTTATTCACTGGGTGATTGTTTTACATAGTGACTACTCTTATGAGACTATTATCTCGAAACTAACCTACTCTGGGAAAAGGTTTTAATTTGCAGCTTAACCAGCCATGGTAATACTAATACTAGTATACTAATACTAGTCTTACTAAGCCACTAATTCTCCTTCTCTAGTGTTTCTTCTCAATTGAAAGAGACACAAAACGGTGATGTAAACAATATGGGTCTGCTTTGAGTCTCTTTGTGGCTGTCATTTGTTATTTGACATATTTCTATTGTTCATTTTTTATAATTATTTTTATTATCATTATTACTATTAATTTTTCTTGGTCTCCAATATGAACCCCTTTAAATCTCAGAAAATATTGCGTAGTTGAAATAAAATCCTACACACCAACACTGAAAATTTTCGTTGCCTAATGATAAAGGTACCACTTTAGTCATTCAGTCACCACAAAGTTCAGGGACTACGAGGAGAGGCTGTATTTTCTTTGTCTCCAATCGGCTGACAGCCTACATATTATGACTATTGGTGATGTCCCGTTCTAACACTCAACACTTTGGTCATTTGCTTTATAATGCAGTCATTGTGACACTTGGAGCTGTGTGCCCTCGGCTCTTGTGACTGCCTCGCAAGAAAGCGGTCGCAGTGAAAACAGGAAACACTTCTCTGGAGTTTCAACATCCATGACTTCTTTTCTCCTTCTTTCTCATAGATAATATCAAGGAAGAACCCAGAGGATGTCCAAGAGGTAAGACATATAGTCGCCACCTTTTATTTGTAACTTTTGCAACTTTTTAAACCTTCAGTAAGTGAGCACATAGAACGCAATTTAAATTCTGTGCGATTGTTGGTGAAATATGTCCCAAAGATTTTTATTTATTTATTTTAGATAGTGACAGAGACATTGGTCTGACACTCAAGGCTATTTCTTCCATTTAGAGCAGACTGAGGAATGCAGTCAAGCCTGGACCCAAAGCTAATGAAACGGGCATGATGTCCATTACTGCATGTGTGTCTAAGAGACAGAGCAAGAGAGTTTTGTCTTGAAACGCACGTACTTCCATTTCTAAGTTGTGACTCTGTTTGGCAGTAGTGTTACTCCTCTCAAACACACACTGCCAGTTTAGGATTGTATGTTAATGTTATGGCGTTTTGTTTTGCTTTAATAACTTTAGAAAGGCATGTGAGAAAAACCTGTATTTAAGGCTTTGTTGCATAATGTGCTGTTGCCTTGAGGATTTTAACTTGACATATGAATTGTGTTAGCTCTACCTCGGCGTTGTAGCATTTGTGCAGTTGCTTGGTGAACAAAACCGATGTTTTATATCTGTTACTCAAACTGATTGATTCCTCTTCTGCTCGGTAAGTTGCCTGCCTGCTCTCTCTTTCCCCTGTAGATAATAGTATGGAAGAGATACAGTGATTTCCGGAGACTACATCACAATCTCTGGCAGCTGCACAAGAAAATATGTAGCCAGTCTGAGCTTTTTCCTCCCTTTGCCAAGGCCAAAGTCTTTGGTGAGAAACAGTTCTTCTTCTGTCACTTGTGTCAAATTTAGCTTGATAAATGACTGGAGACCTAAAAGCCTGCTAAAAAAACGACACTCTCTTACTGCTCTATCCCAACGAGGCAGTTTAGTGTTATTGTGCTATAAGTAGACCAAGTTGTTGCTGATCTTTTGGATGATGACATGAGTATGTGTTTGTAATTGTGTCTGCATTTTTAGGTCGATTTGACGACTCAGTGATCGAAGAAAGAAGACAGTGCTCTGAGGACCTCCTACAGTTCTCTGCAAATATTCCAGCGTTATACAATAGCCAGCACATCCAAGAGTTTTTCAAGGTACCATTCTCACTAAAGCGGTGACTTCTGTGTTACCCCAGAAAGACTATTGGGTGCATTCTCTTTTTCTCAGGGAGGTGAGGTCCATGACGGCTCAGAGCTCATTGGCCCAGCTGAGCCCTTTTCTGACTTCCTTGCTGATAGTTTATCAGACTGTAGTTCTGATGGTACGTTGTTGTGAAATTTGTCTTCCCCCAAATCAGCGTCCCTTGTGATGTATGAAGGTTTTTGTCTCGGTCTTGCTTAGAAATGTGTGGATTTGTTTTTTTAGTTCAAAGAGACATCAGTGGTGCAGATGATTTGACCCTCACATCTGAATATGGAGGTAAGGTTTGCCCCCAGTGTCTGCATAGCACAACAAGTTTTATCTTAGTGACACAAAAACACGTTTGTGTATATTTGAATGTCTGTTTTTTTTCTTCTTGTCTATTTCAGGCCCGTCCAGTGACAGTGACCTGACCTCTCTCGCAGTCGATACAGACTCATTGGCCGGGTTGGATGATGGCATGGCCTCAGGTCGCACCTCCCCTAACCAGCCACATGGGGGAGCCCCTAACATTAGTAGTAGCTGCAGCCCTCGCTTGCCCTCCTTCCATGACCGTCGGACCCCATCACCTGCCCCCGTCCCTGCTTCTTCAGCCCCTAACCCTGACGTCAGCTGGCCAAGTCGAACAGGAGTCTTTTCTGGAAGTCTGAATAGTGGAAGTGTTGCAAAGCCTAAGGACGTCAAGTCAGACTACCTTGACAAAGCCAGTGAGCTCATCTGTGTTGCTGTCCAAAAAGAGAAAGAACAGGACTACCTGGCAGCGTTTTCTTTCTACCGTAGCGGAGTCGACCTGCTTCTGCAAGGAGTACAAGGTCAGAAAATACACTTTGTTGTCAGTTTTTTATTTTATGAAAACATTTAAATGCCTTGTTGCTTAAAGTTAAAAGAAAGAGCAAAACCATCATAATCACCAACCAGTAATTAAAATTGTGAAGATTCTTCTAAAAAAAGAGCTAATCTGACAGAGTTTATATACCTAGATAGAGAGCTGAGGTGACCTGCAATCTCTTACACCGGGGTCTTTTAGATGCAGTGGGCTGTTGGTCTGTGTGAATCGGGCTCTTTTATAAAAGTTAAACATTATGCTGTAAGAAAAAACTGGACCAGGCTTTAGGGTCCTTTCTTTGTGTCACTGTAAAAAGAATGTGTCTTTGGTTGACAGGAAAAACATACATCAGATCTGTTAGTGCTGCATGAATGGTGCTTTTACAAAACCAAAAAAGATGAAAGGGGATATTACAGTGAGAGACGGTGCATTTTCTGACTGAATAAAATGAGAAAGCTTGAGGCGTAGCTGAAATTTGGTGAAGGTGAAAGCTGGAATTTGATTTTGATAATCAACTTTATCCGGTAAACTCAAAAAGAAGGGTTTTATTTAGTTTTGTATGATGTCATGATAAAGGCACAATCATTGGCTGATCATTCAAAGCTTTTACATGACTTTAGAAAAATAAAAAAATAACAGAGCTCATTCTTCAGGTGAGCCAAGTGCTGCCCGACGAGAGGCAGTGAAGAAGAAGACTGCTGAATATCTTATGCGTGCAGAGCAGATATCCAGTCAGCATCTGAGAAGTAACATGGGCCAAGGGTCAACACAGACGGTGGTGAGTGGGTGCTGAACGTCACCAGCCCTATACTTTGACTTGCATTATTGTATTATAAATGTTTCTCACTGTTTGTCTTTTTTTTCTGTAAAATGTTGTAAGACATCATAATAAATAGAAAAACTGCGTATTTGGTAGGTATTGAAAGTTTCCCTCAGTTTTACTAATATCATAATTATTTATGAATTTTCTTCCAAAGGCATTCGGGGCACAGTGCTGCTCTTCCTCTGGCAGAGGAGGGCAGCAGAGTCCATCTGAAGAGCTGACAGCTTACAGGGTGTTAGGAGTCATAGATAAGGTAAGTCTGCCTTTTACTAGTCGTGTAACCAGTTCTGGTGTTTCATGTCTGATGTGTGTGTTATGAAGTCACCGGAAGATAAGCTGCTCTTTTTGGAAAGTACACATTTCTCTTTAAGTCAGGATTTTCTCCACATGATAGCAGTCAGGTGGAGCTGAAACAGATTTATTCAAGCATAACCCCCACCAAAAATATGTACTATATCCATCTCAGGTTTCTCCTTTTTGTGCCCTTATCTTATTCTACAAGCTCTTTTATCTGCAGCAATAAAACGTAATGGATATACTCGATGTATGGCAAGGGCTGTGTGTGAGTATGCTTGGCCTCAGTTATGACTACCACAAGGTCAGTTTAGGTTGCTGGTCCTCTCAACCAGCTGCCGGTGAAGCAACTTCACCACTCAGCCATGAAATGACTTGGCAGGCAGCTCAGAGAATGACACACAACATTGAATCTATGATGCTCATCCTACACACACGCTCACAACACCGTAAGGAAAATGTTGACACAATACCAGCACATGTTGGTGCGCAGAGGTGGGCCCAAAATACACAATGTTTCGGAAGCTACTCGAGCATACTGACAAAGAAAATATCCATTAAAGTCTGGCTCTTCCCTTCTCTTTTCCCTCCTCCCACTTACTCCTTTCACTTTAAACGAGGACAGAGGGGACAGATGGAGAGAGCTCCTCACCCTATTGCCCCCACCCCCCCACCCCATCCCACCTCTCCCTGATGTTTGCTTCTTAATTATATTAGCACCCTGGCTAGCACCACCACTCTGTTTACTCACAGCTCCATTCATATCCATTTAGCCTGCACCTGTTTCGTCCCAGTCAGGGTCGCACCCGCAATACACGCCGAGCACTACACACAAACACACACCAGGTCACACACATATGCTCAAGCTCTCCCCTGAGAGTGTGATGGAGCACAAGAGCAATGGAGATGTCAGAGAGAAAAGGGGGGGCTGATGAAAGAAGGAAATTAAGATATTTGGAAGAAAAAGGGAGAGACAGTTTTGGAAAGTGAAATGAGTAATGGTAGGATCTGCTTTTCTTTGTAAAATTGGGTGCTTCTGGATGATTTAGAGAGGACACTGACAACCATGGCTGTCTTTTATGATATATTGCTTCAGTCTGTGGTGATATTTCAAGGAGCGCATATGCTCAAAAATAGGGGAGGAAAAAAGCACATCTCATTTAAACAGAAATATGAACAAACATTCTTATTTTTCTGTTTCCTGTTCCCATTTTTTCCATTTTTAAATTTATAAAATGCTTGTGGATATTGGAAAGTTGCCCTCATTGAGTGTTATAACTTTATAATTTTAGTGTACTTTATGGGACAAGGACTTTATTCACTTAACACAGCAGGGTCCAGCACTGTAGTGCCAGTTTTTCTTGTTATAATTTAGGGACATACATTCATCTTTCAGTGACCCATGTGTTGACTCAATCTTGTCACTGAAAAACTCTTCCCTCGAGGGCACATCATCTCAGACTGCACATGTCTCTTTACACCCAGCAATTAATGGCACTCTCCCAACACAGGTTCTTCTGGTCATGGACAAGAGAACACAGGAGACGTTCATCCTGAAAGTAAGTGTCATTCGTGCATGTGTGTGCGTGTTTTTGCAATGACTCCTCATCGTCCTGACTGTAAGTGTGAAGTGTGCCAGAAGCCCCTGTGTGTGACCGGTGTAATTGATTCTAATGGGCCTGTCTCTGTCAGCTCCTCTGCTCTCAGGTGTGCGACGTGTGCCAGATGCCAACATACTACGCAGGCACAAATGACTGCACGCACACGCATACGTGCACAAGCCCTCACGCTCGCACACAGTGTGAACTTTACATGTAGTGCTGATAGATTTGTGTGGCTCCTTTAGAGTCATGTAATGTTTTCAGCTTGATGAGTCCGGTGACTTTGGGCTGCCACATTCTATAACTGGCAGTAATGGAAGGTTTCGTCTTTCTCCTCCTTACCCTCCGCACAATCTTCCACATTAATTAACATCTTTGTTTCTTGTTTCACCTCTCATTGCAGGGTCTGAGGAAAAGCAGTGACTGTGGGCGGACTAAGAAGACCATCATGCCTCTCTCGGTTCCCCATATGGTGCAGCTTAGAAAGTTTATCGTCTCTGAGGACGTAGTTTTCCTTCTGCTGCAATATGCTGAGGGTAAGAAACGCGTGTCCCGCTCATCTGTTTGATCTTCCCTCTTTTGTCTTCTTAGGCTCCACCTGTTTTTTCGCCACCTTCAGCTGATCCTTCTTTGTCTAAGCCCCCCACTCTCGGTGCCCTTGTTGGAGACAGATGTTTGATAGAGATGGGTGTGTGTCACAGGTCGTTATTCTGAATACCAGGTGGTGTCATGCTTCATTAGCTATGCCAACACCTGGGCCTCCTTACATCCCACTCTCTGTAGGATGTGTCTGTAGGCTGTGTGTGTGGGTGACTGCGTACAGTGAAACGCAGCCATAGTTTTTAATTCCCTGCAACCTTTTCCATCTAGTGTACTCCATAACCCCGCCGCGGACAGGACTGAAGATTGTATGAAGCTGTTCACCATGATTTATTAAAGTTAATCAAATGCGGGTACAATAAGAAAGGGTGCACAGTGGCTACATCCCAGTAAATCCAGGACTTCTCCTGTTTCCTCCATAATGCACAGTTTATTTTAACATTCATGTTTTGCATGACGGGATCTCAGACGGAGGGAGGTAGTGACCTGAGTGACATTGGATAAACAACATGTGGATGGTTTTACTTGCTAAGCCATCAAGTGCCCTACCATCGTGATCATCGCTGTGAACTCCCTATTCATTTTCATCACACACAGCAGATGCTGGCTTCCAATAGCTCACACTAAAGCTGTTTGTGTGTGTGTGTGTCTGTTTGCTTGTGCAGACAAATCTTTGCGATTCAGTATCTTCATGAACAGAAAAGTGAGACAGAAGGTTACCACAGAGAAGCACATAAAGTCCTGTTCTCTATTGAGTTCCAGTTTTTACTGTTATTCCTGCTTTTTTAAAGTTACTTCCTCGTAGCTTCTGCCTAAGTAAACCCAAGCCTTTTAAAGGTGCGTTTGTTGAGCTGTAAAAGTGCTGCATTTAAAAAGAATCATTTCTAACAGTCTAAAATCAGAACCTCTTTCTCTGATTAAAATGCATTTCAAAATGGTTAATTGAATACATCGGTCACTTACCAAAACTTGAAAATCTAATTTCCTGCCAAGTGACTAGAACTGAGTCCTAGACTAGTTATGATATCATAAATCTGGCTTGAAGGTGCGTTATCACAAGTTAATTAATAATACAGTAAACCTTTTGCTGGAGGTTGTTCCAGTTCCACTCTGTTTTCAGTTCCACCACTAAAATATCTAAAAACGTTACAGATGTTTCACATTTAGTGCTTTAGTGTGGAAATTGATGAAGATGCAAAACAGGAACATGACAGGGACATGAGTGTCGCCTTTTCTGGTCTTTAATGCTCCTTTTCTGTCACCTCAGGCGGCAGGCTGTGGTCTCACATTGGGAAATACCTTCTTAATTCCAGTCCTGAGGAGAGCTTTGACATTCCTTTTATCCAGAAGAGCCACACGACGGCTGTGCACTCGCCTCTAAACACTGTACCACAGCTGTGTGTGGGTTCATCCAGCTGTGATTCGGAGCCTGCTGCCCGTCCAGATTCTGTACTCAAAAAGGAAAGAGAAACCCCCTCTGTGTCTCCTTTAAAACGTGCGCTCCCTTCAGGCCTCAGTGAACTGACTGGAGCTAAGTCAGAGTCCGGAGCTACTTCTGAGGAGGAGTGCACCAACAGCTATTTGACACTTTGCAATGAGTATGAACAAGAGAAAGTAGAGCCAGATGCACTAGAAGAGGAGGAGGAGAAGAGTGAACAGGAAATGCTTTCCTTGGAGGTGCCAAATGCAACAACCACCACGTCCTCGCGTAGCCGCTCACTTCTAAGCAACGACAGCCTGTCTTCCCCCATCAGTTCGCAGGAGCTGGGCTTCTTCAGCGAGTTGTCGGACAAAAGTGAACACACCCATGACAATGACCAATACCAGGGGGATGGACAGGACCTCAGCGAAGTCTTCAGTCCTCTACGGTCGCCTGCTGGGCCTCTGTCTTTGGATCAGTCCAAGCACACGCCAATGGAGTTTTTTCGTATTGACAGCAAGGACAGCACAAGTGAGGTGACCTGCCACGACTCAGCGGAGCAGCGGCCTTCTCTCAAGCAGAGCCCCTTGTTCTGCGCATCTGAACTGAGCTGCAGTGTCTCCGAGGATGTCCCTGAGCACGCTCAAGAGGTTAAAGGCCCAAGCTTGGAGTTCTGGGGGTTGGACTGTAGCGATAAAGGCTCCAACGAGTCAGTGCCGGTCATCTCATTCAAAGACGCCGTAGTGGAAGATGAAGGCCATCCCCCCGACCTGTTGGTAAACCTTCCTGTGATGAGCGGGACTGCCGGCTCATTACAGGAAGAATTGGAAAACTCAGGAGTGTGTCTGGGTCTGGAGGTCACAGCCTCTCCTCAGAAGTGTATCCAGCCGGATGTTTTACAGCTACACAACCAGCCGGAGGAAGAGGAGGAGCCACTACCGCAGCATGAGCTTTTATCTTTCGGTACGGCCTCTGCAGCTTGTGACACGAGTGTAGCATCTACACCTCCTTTCAGCTCACCGTGGGATGACAGCTTGGCGTCTGGACAAGAGGCCTCTGACAAAATGACCGATCACCCTGAAAGCCAAAACAATGACCTGCCTCTTGACACAGGCATTCCAGAAACTGATTGTCATAATGAGAAACTAGAGCCAGGTACAGGAGAAAACACAGACTTCCCAAAGCCAAGTGACAGCAGCTCTGTCTCAGCCATAAATGGAGCTCAGGCCTGTGCCGTGGTTGGGAGTTTATTAGAGCTTGATGGGGAATCATCAAAAGCTATTAGTAACACAGGAGGCACTGAATTTGATAAAGAAGTGTCGCGGCTGTTCGCAGAACTGGACAAACTGTCGCTGGCTGCGTCCCAAGCTCGTATCCCGGAGGAGTTTGCACGGTGCTGGGCAGCAGAGATCGTGACAGCCTTGAATTCTCTGCACCAAGAGGGCATCATCTGTCGAGACCTGAAGCCCAACAACATTCTGCTTGATCATCGAGGTTAGACATCTGTTATCAATATCTCCTGCTTTTCCTCTCCTTGTGTGTGTGTTTTTTTAAAAGAAATCTGTTAAGATGGAAGGAACCTGCAAATTTAAAAAAAAGTCATGGTGTTTTAAATTGATGAAAAACTACAAAAGAAAATCATACGATTGATGTTTTTTGTGTGACCAAGATGAAAACTAGAAAACTAACGTACAACCTTTAAAGTCAAGAGAGGCACTGATTTGTTTTGGTCTGAGGGGCTTCCTTTTGTCATACAAACACTATCTAATCAATTAGGGCCAAGGTTTTCAAAGAAGAAAAAGAATTGTTTCACCATGAGGTCACAGATTCCCTCAACTTCTTCTTTTGTCATCCTACAAGCATCTCTCTCCACCTCGTTATCAACAAGCATCTAATTAGCTGAGTGGCTGTTTTCGTCTCCCCGGTGGTAATTATTGTTCTAAAGGGCCCATCAACGGCCTAGTGTGGTGCATCAGTCTGGCTAGCTCAGGCTAATGGCTACGGCTACCTAATGACACCATTAGTTCTAATGATAGCGTTAACGGGTGGCAGCTAAACAGGAGTAATCACCAGGGCTGTTTGCTTGAAAAGCTTACAGAGGGATGTGGAGAGGCAGAAAGGAATGGAGGAAGGCACTCCAAAGGTGGGTGAATGGTTTTGAAAAGTTAGGTGGCATCAGATTGTGCATGTTTGATGAAGGCAGCACAGAAAAAAAAATGAAGTTTGACTTATGTGTTTTAATTCTTCCTTTCTCTTTAGGTCATGTTCAGCTCACGTACTTTTGTAGCTGGTCTGATGTGGAGGAGTCCTGTGACAAAGAGGCCATTTCCAACATGTACTGTGCACCAGGTCAGACTGCTGTTTCTTCATTCTTTAAAAGGCTCTTGGCACTCTCGGAAAATTTATGACAACATTTAAGGATTAAGGCCTTCGGCAGGTTATATTCTTTTTGCCGAACTCATTTATGGCCAGATCGTTTGCAGGATGAACATGTGCAAGGTAAACATGATGTTGTCCGTGATATGAGAAAGTACTGAAAATCTAAAAACTACAAACAATTCTGCTGTATCTCAGACTACCTTGCAGTTGTCCTGCTGTCCTGTAGAGTGTGGTGTTGTGCAGCAGTCCATCACTCTTGTGACGGACCCCTGTTGCTCCCAGCTGACTTGAGGCAGCTCTGGCATGCTGTTTAAAAGCTGCCTAAAACAAACTGCTATGAGACAACGGCACCAAGTCCCTACTTAGCACTTCTGCATGCGTTTAGGGGTATTTATGTTCAAGTCAACTTGTGGCTTTTTTTTACATTAAGTAATTACTCCAGCTCTATATATGTATGTATATGTACATATATATATATATATGTAATTGACCACTCGATATATTTAATTGAATATCTCTAAAACGGACAACGTTTTAGAGATTCAAAACAAAGGGTGGGCCTCACACCCATTGGCTCGTCCATGTTGTTGCATCGAGCTATATTTTCATGCTCATCCTTTCTCGACATCCAGAATGGTCTTTCCAGAGCAACAAATGCTCCGTTTAATATGAAAAGTGTTCATTTGTGGTCAGTTTGTAACAGCCTGTTTAGAAGCTTATGATTACAAATGGAAGCATTCTGGGGCATATGGTTTAGTGGGCCGCAGTGAACGACCTCAAGAGAAAGGAGTAAATCTCAAACTCGGAGTTGAATGAATAATGCCGCTTAAAATCTGAGCAGACACATGCTTGCTACTCAAACGGTTGTGTAACAAATGCTGTTTCATTCCTAAGTGGTTTTGTATGAGTCTCAAATGCGGGACACTTAGCTGACCTTTAGTATTTTTAACCTACTTGTTCAAAACGAATGAATTAAAAACCAAAAAAAGATTAGCAACAAATGTGTGAGTCACATGTCATAGTTGCTACAGTACTACTTAAACTAGTGTAATCATCAAATTATATATTGAAGTCTGCTTAAAAAATTGTTCAAACTTTATCCAACAGCATGCTTAAAAACTGGAATTAGTTTGATTTAATTGAGCTACCCTCCATCAATTTATCCCGACCAGTTTCCATTCTTGTGACATAAAGTCTGTAGAAGTTAAATATTCAACGTGGTATTTGTGTAAAAAGATGAAGTAAAGGGAATGCGAAAAGAAACCTGTGCTGCTACAGTGTTGACTTTCTTCTTCCCAAAAGCCATAAACCTAAAATATTTCACAACAAAACAGTGACAAGTTATGTAATGCCCGCTGGGCACCAGCAGGGGGTGTGTTATCCTGCTGTGAAGTGAAAATACCACTTTGTCTTGTATTTACTGTTGTTCTCAAACACGGACAACTTCCTCTCTTTTTCTCATTTCTATTTCGGCCCATTTTTACCTGAAATTCAGCCAAAAATCGTGCACTACAAATGAGGAACTATCGCCCCCTTTTGTATTGTTTTCTGATGCTCATGAAAATGCATATGTCAGTAGATCTAAGTACATGCAAACACACACACACACACGCACACACGCAGATGCAGAGGTTAGTGAGTGTGTGTGTCTCGCCTGCCCTTGTTATGTATTGCTGTTTATCCAGACAGGGTCAGCTCTAGCAATGGCTTCATTCCTGATGACAGATTTATGACTGTTTGCCAGAAACCTAGCAGGGGGCCTGCTGTGACTGAATGTGCCTGTGTGTGTGTGTGTGCGTACATATGGGAGTGTGTATGTTAGAAGGAGGGCAGCCTGTTTTTAAAACACACATATTCACACCCAAAAAACACGGGAGTGTACTTGGAAAATCTGGTGACAGGGTATTAATCTGTTTATCTTGCACTTATGCTCATTTATTTTCTCACCGTTTTGTCATTACCGATAAACATCAGATGGCTAATGCTTATTCTCTTGTAAGAAAAAAAAAAGCTGTTGAGTTATTTTATTACGACCTACTTAAAGCAGAAATAGGAATTGTTTATTGTTTTGTTTAGAAGGAAGCAAGGCCCAAACTGTCTTGATCGCTAAGAAAAGGGAAATTCAGCCTTCTTCCCCTCTGAGGCAACAAAGCAGTTACTGAGGACTTCATTCTTTTATTTGTGATTCTTCTACCTGCTCGGCCCTGCGTGATATCATGGAAGATAAGGTTTAGTTCCCCTTTTGACTCGGAGCTGTCATCTCATTGTTTTTAAAGGCCTTTCAAGGAAAACATTGCACCCTGACAGTACTTCTGCTTTTACTATTCACTATTTGTTCCCTGGCCTCTCAGTGAAGACGCATAACAGCTTGGTTCCAGGATTGCTTTGCATAGATAATTTATTTGGTCATAACAACCATCTCCCCAGCTGACAAGGCAGTAACACTCAGTTTAGAGCTCAAATGTTGGCAAATGGGCAAGAAGCTTAAAACTATCAATGCAACATACATTTATATAATTTTATTTTTCTACTTTTCTGTGCCGAGTAGATGCCATAGACAAATGTGCTAGTTAGAAATAAATATCCAATTTTTTTTACCCAGAATAATAGTTCAGTTCTGATGATCTTCCATGTTTCCCAGAACTAAGGTGAGTGAGTACTGAGTTCCCTGAACTAAACCTACGAAGCAGCTCTCAATTTATGTGCAACACAAATCTGGACCAACCTCCCTAAAAGCATGGATCTCAGCCAGTATTTTTATTTCTTTATTTAGAATTTTACCGTATTAAAAAAACTCTTCTTGCGTTTCTGGACAAACACTGTTGTGTAATTTCTTTTCATATCACACCTTTATGCCAGTGAGTCCCATGTAAAGGACGTCGTGTTGCATGAGTAAAAGGTGCTTCACTGATGAGCTTGCCATACAACACCAGCTATTCCTTACTTCCTACCTGAACACTTCCTCTTTCTGTGATGGCCATCGGTTAGGTTTTTAGGGAAGTCTGTCTCAGAGGAGAAGAGAGAAAGTTCCTTATGGCCCCCGTGAGAGAGGAGATGGAGTCTGATTAAGATACAAAACAGTGAGGAACTGCAGTGTTGAGGGGAAAGGGAAGGAGAAAAGGCCACGAGGTGAACACACTGTATTGTTGTCTTCTTGTTACTGCACTTCTCGGTATCCTTTTTTTGTTTTCTTATAATTCTCCCGTTTATTATGTGAGGCTCGAGAATAAAAAAAGCCGGGCCCATGTAGGTATGCGCACATGGGCAGACTTACACATCATGAAGCACGCTGTAACAGTGCGCTTTGGATGACCCATGGCCTGTGGATGCAGTTAATTCTCCCTTCCCATCCTTTTTTTCTCTATCTTGCCTGCTCCCTTCCTCACTCTGACAGAGCGGTAAGTGTAGCCAGCTCCACTGTACTCTCCCTGCAGCTCCTTAGACATTAATCCATTGTGATGACATCGACCTTGCTCTGAGACGTGCCTGTGTGTCTGTGTGTCCAGTATTTTCCCTCCGGCTCCCAACTACACAGGTATCACTGGTCCATTCAATGACGATCTTCTCTCCTTGGCTGTCAAAACAGTGGTCCTGGGGAGCCCTGAAGACTGGTTGCTCAGTTTGCTACGCGTGTGTGTGTGTGTGAGAAGGCATGTGAGTGTATACAAATCGTGCAAGTCTTATCATAGCCCTCTCTAACCTTGGCTGCAAGAGAGCTGCACAGGGCCCTGGAGTTCCCGGCAGCCTCCAGGAGATGAGGGGTCTTTGTCTAATGTGCTCCCACAGCTGAGGAGCCTGGTCCCTGGGCACACGCGGCCATGACCCTGGGTCCCAGCCCTCTGGGTGACCATGCCCCCCCTCCCTCTGGAGAGCCGAGGAGAGGCGAGCTGAGCAGCGCATGAGGCCATCTGGTACCCACTGGAGTTACCGTACAGCTGCTACAAACAAATGTCACTCCGGATTTCTGTGTCTTACTACAGCAGCGTTTGTAGCCCTCAATCTTGTTGCCTGTCAGACTGGCTGTAGATCATACATGAGCAAAAGATGACCACACAGTGTACTTTATTTGGAGAGCGAGAGAAGTGAGCAAACTTTAGTGCTCAAATTTAGAATGCTTTTGGCATCTTTACAAACTTGAAAATATGTTGAAATTTGCACTAGAGACAAACTGTTTCTGAAAAGGTTCAAATGTCTTTTAATCTTGGATCATTGTACATTTTAAATTTAAGGCCTTTTTTCTTTTGTTTCTTGTAACGGAAATTATTCATTTGATAACCAGTAAAGAAGACCTCGGATTAAATGTCTACCAAATGAATACATTTATAAATGAAAAAAAAAAAAAGTCCATTTAGAGGATATTAATTTACTACAGCCTTTAGCTGAGGCTATAAACGGAGAATAAATTAAATGAGAGTAAAGAAATCACAAAATGTTGTGTGTGAATCTTTGTAACCAAGTGCCCCTATTTTATATTTCTTGTGTGTGTGTGAGTGTGTGTTAGCGTTTGAGGTCAGGTCATGCAGATGGTGTGAAGTTGCAGCACAGACGGTTTCCTCAATTTAACTGCTTTTTATTATGCAAATCGGCCTTTTATGAGACACGCTGTGCGTTTTTGTAAAAGACTGTGTCCATGTTCTTGCACTCTGTTTTAATCGATTGTATAAATTCAGTGAAGACGGCCATTAGAAGCTTTCTTTTATGTGTAAAATTTTACTGAGAGATCTAAGTTTAGGCTGAGTCGTTGATCATTTCCTTGTGGGACATTAATGACGGGCTATTTTTTTCCTTGGCACAGAAAGCATTTCTTGACTTGTTAAAATGTTGATTGTTTTTGCCTCTGCCTCTTTTTTTCCTCTCCTCAGAGGTGGGAGGTATAAGTGAGGAGACGGCCTCGTGCGATTGGTGGAGTTTGGGCGCCATCCTGTTTGAGCTCCTAACAGGCACGGTGAGTCAAAAAGTACACAAAAAAAAGGGTTTTATCTCTGTTGCTAAGGTGTTGCGAAGTGTCTGTAGGTGTCTTGGCTCTCAACTCTCTCACACTCTTTATGATTGTGCCAGATTGTGTGTGATTCTGTGCACGTGTCTCTGTGTGTTTGAGTGGGTGGAGTTGGTTGTTTTGGGGTTGGGGGGGGGGGTGCGTTTGTGTGTGAGGCGCGTCTTGGCTGCCGTCTCTTCCTCTGGTTCTTGGGGAGTGCCAGGGGTGTCGGTGTGACTTTCTCCCCCAGCCTGAGCTCCATCTGCTGGGCCATTGGGTCAGCCCTCCCCGGGCTGCTTTGCTGGCTTCTGGAGCAGCTCTGAGCTCGGAGCACGCTGACCTCAGATCAGCATGGAAGGTGAAGACCTGGGCAGCTCTCAAGGTGCCGCAGCTCGGCTGGTCCACGATCAGAGGGACATTCATTCAAGACAGGACTGAGAAAAAGGGGAGCATCTCATAGAAACAAATTCAGTCCTATATTCAGTCCCCTCAAAGGCTAAACAACACCATTCAGCGTGGGAGCCGAGTGTCACTCTAATATTTGACAGTCTGAGGCATTAGAATAAATGCAGTAATCGCAGGTGGGCAGTTGGTTTTATTTTCATATCGACAGCAGTACTTCCCTGCCTTTGCCCAAGCCTCAGTCAGAGATTTGTGTTCGTGTTGTTGTGTTCAACAATAGACACCTACTTACCTGGGTAGAAAAAAAAGATAAGAAAACTCAGTCACACAGATGTCTCCTTTGATGATTATGTCTTTGTACAGCCCTGGCAAGAATACACACACACAGGCACACACAGAGTCTCTTGATCCTTGCAGGATAAGATCTTGCCTGGAGCAGTCTTAACTGCAGCCAGGAACGCAGCCAGAACTCCTGCAGCACGTATCAGAAGAGGGAGACAGGCAACAGCCAGAACTGCTGGGAAAAAAAAAAAACCACCAACAGTTTATGGCTTTTGTTGCTGCACTGTCATTGTAGATGAGCGGTTTTTGCATGTGGAGAACAGTTGTCACTGTCAGTTATTTAACGGCCAGGCACATATTCTGTGGTCACTTACCTACCTCCTCGACTGGTAAAACTTGTCTCATTTTACTTTTTAAAACACCAACATATATATCATTCGGAATTGAAAAATATATTTACAACTTATTAACCGTTGTGCTTCCCGGAAGCTTGCTCTGTATCAATAAAGAACAAAGGTACAAAAAAACAATTTCCCTCCGTCCGACACCCACAACAGTTCCAAGAGGAGCAACAGCAGTGACATCATTGCCTTGTTTTTTGTGGGATCAGTGTTTTTTCAGGTGCTCTGACTTTTCCCTCTACTCCTATTTATTCAGTCGCGATGCTCCAACATTGACTTGTGCTCAGCTGGGGTCAGATGTTCTTTGTTTTACACTGATGGTTATCGGGCCCTTTTCTTTCCACTCCTCCTTCCCTCGGCACAGACTCTGCTGCGCTGCCATCCAGCAGGAATCAGCCGCCACACGGTTCTGAACATCCCCGAGTCCGTTTCAGAGGAGGCCAGATCTCTGCTGGAGCAGGTGAGAGTGCACAGCGTCATGTCATCATTTACTCCTTTTTTTTCTCTCTCCCGCTCTCATTTCCTGATGGTTTTACTCTGTTTTTTTTTTTTGTAATTCATAAACCAGTATTTTTTATTCTGAGGCCATCTTCCCAGGCCTCTGTTCCACTGAACATCATATACACTGCACAGATACCTACAGGCCGTAGAGCAAATAGTAACTAGATACACACTTTTTTAACTAGTTTTTAATAAAGTTGCCCCATCGCATAGTGTAGAATTTTCTGTCTTTTTTTTCTGCATCCATAAAATTGCTCAAAGAATAAGGGGAAAAAATTAACCCGATTCCCCCCCAAAATAATTACTTAAGTAAATCACTCCTCTCTGTCTGTAATATTTGGATATTGTACACATGTTAACACAAGATACAAAAAAACAACTGATGTCGAGAGATCCTAAAAATTGTTTGAATGGACACAACAGCCATATACAGCCATATGTGTATAGGATGATGGTTTTCAAATCACTGTATCTTCAGAATTTGCTGAAGGAATTACAGTTCAGACAGCACCATGGACACAGAGATCTCCGATGTGCTAGAAAAATAAAAATCAGACACTATAACTACCTTAAATGATTAGGAATGTATGTATTTTTCAGACAGATTATGGCAGATAAACACATTTTTGCCTCTAATGATGGACATGTCCTTAATAACTGTGCTGGCACCATGCTGATGTCTTAAAGCTAATTGCAAATCCTCAAAACTGGTAATCTTTAGATGTACATTAATATGGTTAGCCTGGATTTCTCTCTGCCTAATGTGGCTCAAATCTGACAGAATTAGTGTGGTTGCTCTGTGAAGGTGACTTAACAAACTGACAATACACTGTCTCCTTTTTTTTTGTTTTTAATTCAAACTGTCGCTTCCTGATATCTAAGGTCTCTGTGCCACGCCCCCTAAACTAGAATAATGTTTTAATTATGTGCCGGATTTACTGTCATATGTCATTTTTAGCACATTATATGTCCTTTTTAAAAACACTAAATGTTTTTTGGGGGTGTCTGCCTTGCCGTCCTGTTCAGCTGCTCCAGTACAACCCGATGGAGAGACTCGGAGCTGGCGCAGGAGGAGTTGACGATATCAAATCCCACCCCTTCTTTTCCACGGTGGACTGGCCCAAATAGATGCAGCGCATTGTGGAACTGCGCAAAGAAGCTGCACACGTACAGTAAATCCAGATTATGCATCTCTGCACAAATCTCCCCTTTCATGTACGGCCATCCATTTCACATACAATAACATTTGATCTATAGCAGCAGTGTTCCCTTCTTCACAAAAACTCATTTCTTTGTCACATATTTTGGTTGAGGGAAAACTCTACACGTGTCCAGTGCAGTCATTTCAAAAGCAATTGCACCTACTGAGTGTTTAGCCACTACGACAGTTGCGTGTGTACTCTGCATTCAGTAGCTGTAAACTAAAAGAATACAAGCGGCGTGGCTGTGTGCTTATGTTCTCACTGCATTAATGACGTGCTGTAAGGCATCCATTCAGACTGACACAGGCTTAGGATGCATATGTGCAATCCATTATTTTGTTTTCCTCTTTGAAACTTGTACCATTCCTCACGGAGCCCTTTGAGGGTTAGCTGACATGGACTGTGTACCATTGATTGATAATCTGACAATTAATTCTTTCCTACAATACCCTTTTGTTTTTGTTTCTTTCTTTTTGTGCACAAGCCTGTGAAAAATAACAGACGGACACTATGCAAGGTGAATGAATACGGTATTTAGAGATGTGACGCGGGTGTTTTTTCTTTAAATTAGTCATAGAAAAAATAAATTATTCAATGAATTATTACTGGAATGAGCTTTATGGGAAGTTCTGCCTCTGTGTGTACAGTGCGTGTATTTCATTCGAGAAGTAAAATTTTAAGAAACACCCACACGCAGATTTGTAAAGAGCCCTTTTACATTTTTTGAAATTGTTTTTATGAATATCAGAGGAAAGTCTCTGCATTTTGTGCATGTAGGGTTTAAATTGATGTAGTATATTTAATACAGTGAAAAAATGATAGAATAATGAATAATGTGTGTCATGTTAATATGCCTTTTGAAGGATGTACACCCAGGTGTCAAGTTTTCATTGTGTCCAACCTTTAGACAGTTGTTATCATATCAGTCAGGTCCTTATTTGATTGTGTCTTAACATAGATTAGAAGGCTAGATTTGTGATATCAGTGACTGGTTTACATTTTTATTGTCACAGTCCTTGCCATATATCACTTCATATATAATCATGTGAGACCTTTAAGAGTTGTGGAGGCATACTAAATGCTCTGAGACATTTGCCTGAACAATACTTGGATAATCACTCCACTGTAAGTGCTACCCAGTTTTTCCTCCTGATGCATGATAAGAAGACAATAAATTACTATATTCTTCATATTAACAGTTTTTTAATCCGGCGCGTATTTACCGTCTCGTCAGATGTGTTTTTTTTTTTTTTATAATGCCCACACTGTGTCGTGTCAGCGCACTCTGGAAAACAATAAACATACCTGGATGTGTACGTCTACATCAGTGATGGCTCCTCTCTGTGTGGTGCCTTTTTCCCCCTCTGAGACTAGAACAAATGATGCCACTCCCTCACGCCAATGTTACCGTGACCATATCATGAGACAACACGCACATGCAAACACACACGTGCACAGCTGCCAGCTGACGCACCGCACACGTTTGGGAAGCTCTTCTGCTCCTGCTGCTGCTGCTGCCGTGTCACCACAAGATCCTAATTCAATTCAAATTAGCCAGCACATGAAGGTACTCCTTTGACGTGAATAAGCTTTTTTTCCTCCCTGTTTTAATATTGTTCAAGCAAATAAGGAGTTGATTTTTTTTTTTTTAACAAAAACAATCAAAATGTGATCATCTTAAAGGAAAAATGCTTATTCGTATTCATTTGTGCGGAGGTTTAGTGAAACAGGAAGGAGGAGGTTGCAGAGCCTCCAAGACGAGCGCCTGAGGGGCAGCTTTGGAGTGCAGGAAGGGATTCTTGTTGGGGTTCAAAGGTGATGCATGGAGTCAAAAGCTGCTTAACTTACCATAAAGATGCCAGGAACCAGCTTGTCAGACCACATGGTCCAAGCTGTCTATTCTATTGGTAGAAACGAGCTGAACTGAATCCCTAACTGTATTTTAAAGGCTGCACACGTTACTCTTTGAGTTAGATGATAAAATATATTCAGTAGTGATTAATAAGACTGGGCTGTTTTCTGTCTGTATAGTAATAATTCTGGTTGCACATTATCAGGAGCTTGTCTGTGTGTCACTGCATTAATGAACACTTCTGTCTGATATTATTTTTTACCCGTTTTAAGTTAAAGCCATTGCTAATTTCCTGAACAAGACTGCAGTTTAATCGAGCTGAATCGCTTTCAAATCATATTTAGGTTTTCTTCCACAAAGAGTTGGTGGACAGAGAAAGACCGCAAAAAGCATTCACTGGTGAACTTTATTGTACATTCCAGACCAAAGAACACATCGTCAATAAGATGTGACGCTCATAAAAACTTTTCAGGTTGCTTTTAAACTGTGTTGATTAGAATGTTGTCCTATCGGTATAGTCCCGTCATTTCGAGGTATTGTTTTTTATTTACAGTAAATGTATAGAAATTATATTTTGTATAAAAAAGTCTAATATTACCTAACTTAGTCTTTTTCCTGATCTGGTGTTTCCCTGTTGTTAACCTTATTGAAATTTTGGGTGGACTGAATATGAACCCTGCTTTGTCTCAGTTACCTGAACTTCCACGTTAATATGCACACACAGAGCCACATAGAGGTGGGGGGAGTCAGCTGGGTCGTAGTGCATTCCCTTGTGTCAGTTTTATCGCCACGGGGTCAAGAGTCTGAGCTGATTAGTGCTTGTCATAAGACCTGTCTCACATTACACACACACTCAGGGCGAGAGGTTCACTTCAGCTCTCTTCAGAAACCTGTCAATCTTACTCAGTGTAGCTGTGAGATGTGCCTTGAGTGCGTTCGCTCTGACTGCAGGATCCCTCTAAGCACATTTTATGCTCCAGATAAAGAGTACATTTACGGTTACATTTTTGTGACATGGTGCGATGAGGACTTAAAAGGAAAAAATAATTTAATACGAAAATTGGATCCATAAGTGTTGCTTTTTTAAGAGGGGTGCATTTATTTGGTGATTGTTATCTAAAAAATGTAGACACTTTGGGTCTGTGCTGATTCAAAGCTTATTCACCTTGAAACTAAATACTGGATGTTGGCTAAGTTTCACTGAGCACAGAAAGATCTTTTTTTTCTCCATGCAATACACTTGATTGATCATATTTGATCTCTTGAATGAAGGGCTTGAATCAGCCCCTTGTAAAGTCTGAAAAACTGATGATGAAAAGTCTCCCGAAAGATCTATCTATCTCATTTTTTTTTAATAGAACACTTTTTGACAAATGTTCCATTTCAGCCCTATAAGGATTTTGAAGCTGTTACATACCTCTCTGTGTTTAAGCCCACAGAAGGTTTCTATTTTGTGATGGGTTCTCTGAGTAAACCAGGTTTATTCATCCAATTGAAATATTCATAGCCTATGAATATCTTTTGGAAACATGGAGTTGCTGCCCTTAGAAAATGTTCACTGAGTTCACCAGAACAAGAAGTAAAAACATTTATTAAATCTAGATGTCCTGTGGATCTAAAATAGAGATAAAGACTGTCCTCTTTGCAGTGCCTTGATGGTGTTTGCTTTTTATACATGCAAATTGGGGTATATTTGAGAAATACTTCCACTATTCCACTTATGTTCCAGTTTATGTGCTTTTCTTTTTTCACACAAAGTTTGAGCCTTTTGATGAATTCTCGGACGTTGTTTTTATTGATGTTTGACACGCACGCGGATATGCTCATAATACATCCTGAGGAGCGTTTATCAATCCATTACTATGATATACATAGAAAAATGACAACTGCTATTACCTGATATTTTAGTTGTGTCAAAGATAAATTTGTTTTATTAAACACAAGTCAATGAAATATTGCATATTGTTTTACACTGAATAATTGGGATTTTTTCACCAGGTCATCATCATTTAGTCCTTAGGCTTAATTTGTGACCTGACACCTTGGGTTGCATTAATGTAAAACCCAGAAGTGTATTTTTTTAAGGAATACTGCATACTAAAGTACCAAAGCATGCAGAGCTTTCTATCCACATATCTAGGAGACTACTGGAGTTTCTTTATTGTCTAATTATATTTTCAACATGGACATATTGGAGATCAAATCAATGATCTTCCTTAAAGTACAAACTGCTCATACCATCGCTGTATTTCATCCATTCCTGAGATAAAAAATGAAGCACTCTTGCTAATCAGAGAATCCACAGTTATATTGACACCTGAGTTTTTCCTCCACCACTACTTATGAAGCTCCTCTCAGAGCCATGGTGCATGTGTTTTATGGGTGTGTGACCTCATGTCTGAAGCCTCCTGGATGCAGCCCTCTGGACTGAGGCAAGCTTGAGAGGACATACCAAGGACTCCCATGATGCAATACAGAACCCTCTTTCTGAGCCCTGATACCGCCACCCGGGCCTGCAGGCTGAGTTGACCCCTGAGCCCCTTGTGATACTCCCCTCTGCTCCCTCCCTCCCGGTTTCTCTCTCTCTGTGGTCTTTTCCCACCTCTGTCTCTCCTTAAATGTACCTCCCCTCAGCTCTGCGTCCATCGCTTTCACGCAGAGGCACCAGCGAGCAGGCAGCAGCCAAATGGCCTGCCCTCTGCTTCATTTTGCTGGTGGTCAAGTTTTGTTTTTGTCTTTGTGGGTTTGACTTTCGTTCTCGCAGCCCAAGAGGACTCCCATCGCCCTGGGACGGACACACATGTGCACACTCTCACATACACCCACAACAAGCTGAAGAGTTCTGCTCTTAGACCCCGGGCATCTTCTCCAGCTTCTGTCAGAGCCATGATGTCATTATGAGGAGACACAATGCCTCTTCATTATCCCTGAAACACACGGGCACACACGCACACACACGTACACACAAATCTGTATCCCTACACAGACAAACACTTAAGTTTTGGGCTCAAATGAAATAGAGTAGCAACTGATAAAAGTAAAGGTGTATAGTGCTGTAAATCAGTTACAGTATAACATTTACAGGTAGACAGATTTTTTAAATACTTTATTGCCTTTAATATCCATCTTTGTAGAATAGTGATTATGGCCAATCAGTCAGTTTTAGCAGGATAGCTGCATTTAATCACACTCTAAGCACAGATTCTTTTCAACAAGAAAATTCACTTCGAAATTCAACAAAACTTATGTCATCGAACATCCCAAAGGGGACTGGCAAATCTACTCTCTAGACCAATGCATCCGTACAAATTTCCTGACTTAATCTGCTATTTATCAAAAGTAACCGTTTGACTTAAAACCTAAATACAGTACAAGTTGTTGGAAAATTCAACTTCCATTTTATAGATTAGAAATTGAAGACGCTGCGAATAAGAATCTACAGAAAAGATCAGCCTAAATCACCGTCTCACACTTTAATCTGATCAGATAGCACAACGTAGACCTGTTTCTTAGCTGAACTCCTCTGTAGGACAGAAAAAATTAAGCTCTATCGTAGCATCTCATGTCCAGACACAAATTCGGTTTCTGATTTCATTTCATGGACCTAAATTAACTACAAACTGGCCTTAAGGGTTAAGTGATCTTACAGACAAATCATTGACCCAGTGAGTACGCTGCACTCCCTCCACCTGCAGTGCTCCTTCATTAGCTCTGTGGATACAGGCTGTAATGATCTGATTTAGCCTCAAGACAACACAACTGGGTCACTGACGGGCCACTGGAGAGACTGTAGGTCTGTGAGTTTTTGTCTGTGAGGCTGTGCAAAGAACCCAAAAAAGTCCACATGACCTTCGATGGCTCAACAGTGGTCTATTCATGTAAAAGCATAAAGCAGTTTTAGAGTCTTGGCAGATTCCCCCAAAAGCAAAATAAACTACCACAATTATTGTTATTTAGACTTAGTTAGAGTTATCTGAGGCATTCATGTCTTGTGGCCTCATCATAATGTAAGGTATATGAAATATAATGCAATCATTAGACAACAACCCAATACCTGATCCATACAACTAAGATAATTAAATTGAATGGAACAAAATGACAAATAACAGCTAGAATTAAAAGAGTAGATGAAAACTGACACCAATCACTTAATCCACAATGTCAATCAACTGTCATTATCCAGATGCTAAACAGTAATCTATCTCTTATTTCATCCCACAGAGGATATGATAGCCCTACATAATCTTAATCCTTAATCCAAGTTGTTTGAAAACATTTTAACCTAATAGACACAATGGTAATGATAATTTAAGTCAACATAAAGGCTGAGAGAATTTTTTTTTGTTTCTGCACAATAGAACGAGACAAGAAACTTATATACTTTTACTACTCTTAATATAACAAGGATAATTTTAATATTTACTTTAATTACTTCAAAACTTTTGTGGCAAAAACATAGTTGAGATTTTAGGTAATGAATTTGCTGGTGTAAAATTTTGAAAGTTTTACAAACTTTGACAC